GACTATACATACAATTTTAGAACAGAAATTGGGTCAGACAGAGTATCTGGGAACTAGGTTGTAAGGACTGAGGATATACAAAAAGTGGGTTTCTACTTGGTAGAAACATGTATGTTGTGAAGCTGAGAGGAACGGCTTAGTACAATAGCTAAAAGAATGTGATCTAGGGGACTACTGGTTCAAAGCTCTCCCCAGCCACAAATTGATATAGATACCCCTATATCTCAGTGTGTGCATGAGTGGACAAACACACACACACACAAACCCTGTGTTGGATTAAGACATGTGGAGGCCCTAAACTAAGTCACGTTTAACAGATCCCATAGCATTACCTCCCAAAGGTAATTTAATATTGTTTAGTCAATGTGGAGTGAGTATTTAGAGGCCCTTTACGATCTGGGGTCCTAAATTGTAGCTTTCTCAGCCTGTGCATAAATCTGTCTCTCCCCCACCACCATGAAGATAACTATAAATCTGCCACCAGTTTTTGGTTAGTAAATACTAACTCTCCCCCGTGTAGCTCAGCATGAGGGAAATCTTCCTCTACCAGATCTCACTCTTCCCACACACACCACAGCCTTCTCCTCCTTGTTTCTTTCTTCCACCAACTTTTGAGCAATCTTCTGGTGTCTGCCTTTCTTGCCACCTTCTCATGGGTTGCTTTCTCCCCCCCCCAAACCAGTGTTCCCTCTAAGCTGAGTTAGTGTGAGCTAGCTCACAGTTTCTTAGCCTCCGGCTCACACATTTTTGTCTTAGCTCAGGAAGGAGGGCTCCAGAGCAAACTAGTTTATGCAGCAGCCAAATGGCTCGCTCACAGCTTTAATGCCAGCAGCTCACAAAGTAGAATTTCTGCTCACAAGACTCCACAGCTTAGAGGGAGCATTGCCCCCAACCTCCTCGTTCTCTGTTGTCCACCTCTGTCTCTTTCATTCTCACCAGTTCCCTGATGCATGTGCTTATTGTGGTGGGGCTTTACTACTCCAAGCACAATATAAGGATCAGATGCTGAGAAGGCTGCCTTGACACGGTGGTCTGAGGTAAAGCCCCCACCACACACATAAAAAAACACCTGGGCTCCAATGGAGATGGCAGAAGAAGAGGAAGAAGAGGAGATTGGATTTATACCCCGCCCTTCACTACCCAAAGGTGTCTCAGAGCGGCTTACAAACTCCTTTCCCTTCCCCTCCCCACAGCAGACACCCTGTGAGGTAGGTGGGGCTGAAAGAGCTCTGACAGAAACTGCTCTTTTTCAAGAACATCTCTTATCAGAACTACGGCTTGCCCAAGGTCATCCAGCCAGGTGCAAGTGGAGGAGTGGGGAATCAAACCCGATTCTCCCAGATTAGCGTCCACGCACTCAACCACTACACCAAACTGGCTCCATGATACTATGGCCTCTGTTGCCTGTCAAAGGAATAAGGACTGTAGGATAACTCCATCCCTTTTGTCTGAGACAGACTAACGGCAAGGGAAGATCAGACTAGCCCAATTTAGATATAAATTCCAACTTCAAGCTTATCTTCATTCCACTTTCCTTGTTTGGCCTGTCTTTCATGATTAATGTAAGCTGTTTGAGGAGTAGGGTTGTCAAACTCAGGGTGGGGCCTGGATGACAGAGATCGGTTCCCCCTGGAGAAAATGGCTGCTTTGAAGGGTGGACTCTGTGGCACTGTAGCTTGCTGAGGTCCCTCCCCTCCCCAAACCCCACCCTCCTCAGGCTCCACCCCCCCAGATTTCCAGGTATTTCTCTACCCAGAACTGGCAACCCTATCTGGGGCATGTGTCAGAAAAGTAAGCGATAAGTATAAAATTAAAACATGAATAAAATCAGTGAATTTGAACAGTCAAAGGTGCCGTATAAATGCTCAGAACTTCTTCAGAGCAGCATATCATATCCCATGGAATTAGGTTGCTGTCTATCATCAGCGTTTTCACACATGCCAAATAATGCAGTTTCAATCCATTTCAGACGCTGTTTGCAAGTGGATTTTGCCATTTCACTGGCTGATTCTGCATTGGCTTTTCCCTCTGCTGTTTTACGAAACCCATGTTGGAATAGAAATTCCCCTCTGCATTGCATGCTGCTTTCACTTCCTTTAATCATCAGATTTTATGGTAGCCTCCACACTTCATGCCGCTTTCGCTTCCTTTGATCATCAGGTTTTATGGTACCTTCTGCATAGATTTTTGGCTGTTTTATGGCCGTTCAGGGGTGACTTTGCAGTCAGTACGGTGTTGCCCTGAGGTATTTGTGATTTTGAGCTGCTCCTTTTCCTCCCAGTTGAGAAAATGTGGAGTGAATGCTAGATGCAAAATCACCCAGTGACAGTAAAATCCAGTTGCAAAGTGCATGGAAAGTGAATTGAAAGTGCATTATTTAGTGTGTGTGAAAGTGCCCATTATTATGTAAAACTGTTATCTTGTGCACTAGGAAAGAAATGTACCTATTTTTTTATCCAGCAAATCCTGAAAAGTATGCATGCTGGATCAAAAATCCATCCAAATATGCATCAGCAGTTTGAAAGCCTGACAGAGCCAAAGCAAGTAAACCGGGAAGGATTTTTTTCCCACCACCAACTTCAGCTGAATATAATCCTCTTCCTCCCAAAAACAATGCGAAACAGAAGCCCTTATTCAAATAAAAAAACCCCAATTACTCCTTCCTCACGCCTTATGAAAAAAAGCCTTCCACTAGAATCACTGTTAAATAATAATCTCTTAATGTCTTTATAGCACTTTTGGATGTAAAAAAATGCTTTCCGCACTTTCTCTCAGTCACCCTTACAACAATCCTGTGTGGTATCAAGATGACATGAAAGAAGCTTCCTGTGTGATTTATGAAAGTATTTGTCCCTCGTCTGCATTTGTTTGGATTTTGAATAATGGTGCCAGATCCCAGAAAGGGAATCTTTGGACACTGAAACAGACAGAGAAACGTCAATCACCTGTTTGTTTTGCCATCTCAAGGCAAAGAGGTTGGCTCTCGTTTTAAGTTTAGGACGCTCTCATGGCGTCGGGATGGTCTGATCAGGCCATCCCGACTCCGTGCCGTTGTTTTTTTCCCAGTATGCACATCATTGCATACTGCCATAGGAAGCCCTCAGTGTGGAGATGCGATTCACCGCTCCTCAGTTTAAGCGAATCGAAACCAAACAGCAAAAAAAACCCAAAACCCCAACTCATCCGCGATTGTGTCTGATCACGCAGTGGTGGGCTATGCCTGCAGCTTCAAAGAACTGTGTGATGTGCAACTGCAGGTCGATTTCCTCTGGGGTAAATAGCCTCACTTCCCCCGCACGTTATCTCCCGCTTGTGACTGGGACCTTTGTTGTGTTTTTTATGTATAATACTATATGGTAAGCTACCTTGAGTTCCACAAGGGAGAAAGGCAGGAGATAAATGTTTTAAAGAAATAAACAAAGCTGAGAGAGCAGCAGCTTTCCTAAGACTACCTTGAAGGAGAAGGAGAAGAAGGAGGAGGAGGAGGAGGAGAAGGAGAAGAAGAGGAGATTGGATTTATACCCCGCCCTTCACTTGGAGTCTCAGAGCGGCTTACAAACTCCTTTCCCTTCCCCTCCCCACAACAGACACCCTGTGAGGTGGGTGGGGCTGAGAGAGCTCTTTTTCAAGAACAGCTGTGCCAGAGTTTGTGACTGACCCAAGGTCACATCAGCAGGTGCAAGTGGAGGAGTGGGGAATCAAACCCAGTTCTCCCAGATTAGAGTCCACACACTTAACCACTACACCAAACTGCCTCTCTGAAGGAGGAGGAGGTTAACCGAAGGCGAAGGAGTCTCCGAGTGGCTTACAATGGCCTTCTCTTCCTCTCCCCACAACAGACACCCTGTGAGGTAGGTGGGACTGAGAGAGCTGTGAGAGAGACATGTGACTGACTCAAGGTCATCCAGCTGGCTTCATGCGGGGGAGGAGTGGGGAATCAAATCCCGTTCATTAGATAAGAGTCCAGATTAGAGTCCCACTCTTAACCACTACGCCATGGCTGAGGGGCATGTGTTGATGGCAGACGTATGTGAGGAACTGGGTCTGCAGCTGTGTCCATATGAAGCGGTATGGTGTGGATGATTTAAAGCTTACCCCTCCACCCACACCCCCACACACATTGCCTTTTAAAGACCTTTTTTCTCCCAAGATCAGAGGGAAACTCCACGGGGGGGGGACAGCTTTTAACAAGTGGTTTGGGGTGGAAACCCATCTTGGTGTAGCAGTTGAAGTGTTAAGACTGGAATCTGGGATGCCCAGGTTCAAACGCTCACTGTCCCACGAAATAACGCTCCGTAGGATTGCCCTGTCAGGCTGCAACCCTAGGCCAAAAAACCAGCAAATAACAACTGTGTACTGCACAAACCAGCACCAAAGTTAACAAAAAGAGACTTCAACACAAAGGTAATTCAACACATGTAATCCATCACAGGAAAATACAAAAGTCCACAATGTCCCAAAGGGAAAGAACAACGTCCAGAATAGGAATTTCTCAAAGGGAAACAATGAAGTCTGGAATAGATATCAACACTTTTAACTTTGGTGCGGGTTTGTGCAGTACACAGTTGTTATTTGCTGTGTTTTTTGGCCATTGTTTACTGTGGACTGTATTATTGTTGTTGTTGTAGGCTGCAACCCTAGGCACACTCACGTAGGAGCAACTTCACTGAGCTCAGGAACACCGACTTGAAAAAAGCTTCCTCTGCGTTTTTACAAAAGTATTTGTCCCTGCTCTGTTAATTTCTCTCCTCCTGTTTTCATGAAGTTTGAAACCATCCAGACCTGGAACACCAGGCACACAACCTGCTAGGAATTTCTCCTGTGCAAACACCTCACAGAAACCATGCGCTTGCCCAATTCCCATTCATTCCAAGGGGTCTTTTCTGAAACCCTCAGCATACACAGGCTATCTCCTCACTCTGCGTGCCCCTTGGCTACATCTCCTTCTAAGCCCACTGCCCTTCACCCCCCACCCCCCCATTCACTTCCCATCTTCTCACCTCTCCAGGCATGTGTGGGGCAAGGCAGCTAATCCTTTGCACATTTTGCCGGTCGGTTGGTGACAAAGCCAAGTCCTCAGTGGCAAGCAGACAGCGTGGGGGGGAAGGCTGCGGCTCTGTCTCTAAAGCTGCCTGCTTCTGTTCAGTAATATATAAAGAGGCTGCCTTGAATCCTGGCCAGCCCCTTCAGCCAATCACATCCAACATAGTATTTCAGAACTGAGGAGCAATAGCCAGACAGGCAGAAACCTCCTGAAAAGACTGAGGAGGCCTTCCCGCACAACTGTTGCGTGTGTTTGTGTGTGCGCGTTGTACAAATTAGCTTCTGTTGACTCATCCCCTCACTGACATGGGCTAGCCGGAATCTCAGAATGGACCCACCGGTTGGGGGTCGGGTTGTCAAATCCAGGATTTGGGAAACTGCTGGAGATCTGGGAATGGAGTCATTTTCTCCAGGGGAACTGATCTCTGTAGTCTGGAGATTCTAGGGGATCCCCCGGTCCCACCTGGAGGCTAGCATTCCTATCCCAGGATCACTAAGGCTTTGGGTTATCAGCTTTGGGTCAGTCCAGTCCTTTATGGCTTCTGTGGGCAAAATTAGCAGGATCCTCCCAGATTTGTTGCAACGCACATAATTTTAAGTATTAAATGCACATTTCTGTGGGGAAATAGGGGTACCTGTCTTGGGCACATGTGGACACAAGCGGGGAAACAGGCACCGAAGGTCATATTATATACAGATCATTGTTAATGTTAACACTGGGTTTGATCCCAGCGATCTCTTCTGCTAACAGAAGGCATGTCCATTAGCCAAATGGAACTTCCCTATCTCCTCTACACCCACCGAAGCCCACCGACCTCCCCAAAATGCTACTTCTGAGGGATATTTGTTCGTAACAATCAGCATCTGCCCTCACATAGGCCCCTCAGCTACTACTTCTATGTTCCCGTTTGCTCCGTATGGGGACAGTATGGTTCAGTGGTCAGAGCAGGACTGGGATTGTCCTGAAATTTGAATCAAAATGCCAGTCCACCCTTAATGGGTGATCCAGGCTAATCACTCTCCTGGCTGACATCACAGGATTGTTGTAAAGGTAAATCAGGGAAGGGACAACGATATCTGTTATGTACTGACAGCATAACATGAATCGCTCAATCCACCTCCCATGTTGAGCTTCGAGCCAGCCAAGGCTCCGACAGTGCTAACGAACTATTGGTCGCTTCAAAACAGCGACCAATCACAGACAAGCTGTTCCCTGAGCGGGAAGGACACTTTATCTATGCAATCTGATTGGTTGTTATGTATATAGTAGGAGTGGCTATATTAGCCCGGTATGTTTAAAAGGAGCCCAGCTCCAATGTTTTACTGTTCTGGTTTCTGAATGAGTGCTTGTTCGTATTAAAGCTGAATCACTTGCTGAAATCACTCTACGAGTCCTTTGTTAGCGCGATCTAACAATTGGTGACGAGGATGGGATGTTAAAGCAGGTAGGCAGCCCTGCAAACAGTCCCACACCGAACCAGGACGAAAGCGAGCAAAGCACAGCAGCCGATCAAGCGGAGGCGCCACCAGCTCCGGTGCCCAAGTCTCCCCGGATGGCTGGAAACCAGAAGTTCGAGTCGTTCGAACTCTCGTCTGAAGATTGGGACTCCTACCTTGCCAGGTTCGAGTTCCACTTGGAAACTCATGACATCACAGAAGAGGCAAAGAAGAAAGCTTGCCTACTGAGTTCCTGCAGGAAAAGCACCTTCGACATCGCAAGGTCGTTGGTGGCCCCGACCAATATTAAGACCGTCTCCTTCGCTGACCTCACGAAGAAACTGAAGGCTCACTTCTCACCGCAGCCTTCAGAGATCGCCTGCAGGCACGCCTTTTACAAGAGGAACCAAGCGGCAAATGAAACCATCGCTGA